ATTGAAAAAGCGGGGACATCATGGAAACAGCTAGAAAAGGATGCTCAGGACAGGATTCGCTGGAGAAATGTTGTTGATGGCCTGTGCTCCACTGGGAGTTAAAAAGGGCAAGAGAGAGATACAGAGAGCATGAGGCAGAGGCAGGCCTCGGGAAACATGGAGGGGATGTGTGGAAAGGGACATGAGAGTGATGAAACTCACTTGGACTGAGCTTGGAAGGATGGCCCAGGACAGAGATAAATGGAAGGAGTTTGTATGTGGCCTATACCAGGGGTGAAAGGCAGTGATGATGATGATAGTATGATATAATTTGTGTGTGTGTGTGTGAAAGTGTGTAAAAAGGTGCTTAAAAAACCTGCAATACCATTCTTGTTTTGAGCATTTCTTTTTTGGGCCAATAAAGTATACAGACATAGTAGCTAGCTGTTTAGTGAGTGTAGTACGGGGTGCCCACTACGGATAGGATCGCCCGACTCGATCGCCTCAAAAACAAACGTGTTTGTTTTCAGTTTCAGGCGATCGAGTCGAGCGATCTGCCCGATCCAGCCGTAGTGGGCACCCCGTATAGGACTCTGCCATTCGCCATTTTGGAAAATGACAGATTCTTACGTTGAGCAGCCGATATGTATGTCTCTGTCTCTCTCTTTCTCTTCCTCTCCTTACTACATATTTCTTTCCCTCTCTATCCCTCCCTCCCTCCATCTCTCTCCCTCTCTCTTCCACTCTCTCTCTCTCTTTCTCTCTCTCTCTCTCTCTCTCTCTCTCTCTCTCTCTCTCTCTCTCTCTCTCTCTCTCTCTTCCTCCCCAAGTGCTTACTTATGACAGTTACCGTGCATCGCTCCTTCTGTCCATCCACAGCTTGAACATCTCTAATGACGCTAAATCGAAACTGGCAGAAGCGAGACCAGCATCAGTAAGTACTGGGCACATAATTTTGACTGAACGGTGTAAGACTCCGCCATATGCCATTTCAAAAGTGACGAGTCTTACGTTGAGCAGTAGATTTGTTCTACATGCATTGTATTACATAATGTACTCATCACACAGTCTCCTTCCTGTCTGTCTTCTTCAAATTTGTTCCCATTAAATGATAATAATGGTAATATTTATATTTTATCTTTATTATTACTACTATTATTATTATTATTATTATTATTATTATCACAATTATTGTTATTATTGTTATGATGATGATGATGATTATTATTATTATTATTATTATTTTTATAGTAACAATAAAGATAATATATATATTATTCCTCATTCTTCTTACGAATATTCTTTGTTCAGATGAGAAATTACTTTTTAATCTTATCCGTACGTCGTGTTTTACTATCGTATCCATACGAAGTGGGGTACTCTGTGCCACCACTTTCCAAAGAGGAAATTTAATCCGATTCGTTTGCTTTGCATAGCAGGCTGTCAAAATGATTTTTGGAGAAATACTGAAAGTTTCAAAAAGACCTTCGTACTAGAAGTATTCTAAAATGTGAAGAGTACAACCCCTGAGGTACAAAAAGACCCCAGGTGTTCGGATAGGGTTAAGAATGATGTTACCATTTCATTGATCATTCTATTTCTAGAGTGTGTCCCTTTCTTCCGTTTTTTTTTCTCCTCTTAATCTAATTGGTTCACTTTTCAAACTCTCCTCTTCTGAGCTTGGTTTTGTGAACTTTTGAAATAAAGTTGTTTTTTTTTAAACCTGCTTCTTTCCACTTACTGGAATACGTATAGTATTATATCCTGTCATGTATTTTCTGTGCAACAAACTCAACATTCATGAAGGAGTAGGCTACACCGATTAACTTCTTTTTGTGTTCTCTTCTGTTGAGTTTTTACTTATTCAATAAATTTTTTTAAGGAAGCATTTATCGTTTTGATGTACCTATGACTTTCTTTAAAAACATGTACCGCTGCCATTTTATAGTTATAGTTCATAAAACGCATTTTATTTTTTTTATAAATCAGAAAAATCTCGATCTGTCTGTACTTTTCATAAGTTCGATGCTCCCAGGTGTAGTGTAAACATTATCGAGCACTATGGTCCTTATCACTCTTCCTTTTTTTCTTTATATGTTACTTTTTTTAAACACCTCTAATCTTCAGCACTGATATGACCTATTTGTATTGCAAGTGCCATAAAACTAAACT